GAAGGGAAGGGAAGGGAAGGGAAGGGAAGGGAAGGGAAGGGAAGGGAAATATTGTGAGTCATGGTAGACTGCCCCCAAAATGTCCATGTCCTTTAACATATTGCTTTACATGACAAAAGAGATTTGGCAGATATGATTAAGCTAAGGATAGTGGGGATTATCCTGTGTTGTCCAGGTGGGCTTGATGGACTCACAAGGGTCCTTATAAGAGGGAGACGGGAGATGAGAGTGACAGAAAGATGTGACAAGAGAAGCAGAGCTTGGAAATGTGGAACCAGGAAGGCAGGTGGGCAATCTCTAGAAAAAGCTGACAGAGCCAGGAAAGCATGGTCTCTAAAGCCTCAGGAAGGAGCGTGGCCCTGCTGACACCTTGAGTTAGCTCCCTGAGTGAGATTGACACTGGAGTTATCATAAATGTGCGGAGTTTTATTTATTTCATTTCATTATTTCCATCACCGTTAATCCCCTCTGTGTCCTCTTCTTCCACCTCCACTCACCCTTTCCACCTGCTGCAATCTCCACACTGTTGTCCATTGTTGTCATGAGTTCTCTCTCTTTGTGTAAACCACAAGGTATGGCAGCAATGGGAAACTAATACAGTTGCCAGAAGAAATGTTTTGGTTGTCATTAGAATCACTGACAAAGAGAAGTATGCTTGTGCCAAAATAACAGTTTGCATGAAATAAGATAAACCAGTTGGTTTGTGTTGTGGTTTTATATTGGCATCACTTTGAGGCCCAAAGGTATGAAAACAATGAACACTGAGCTTGAAATAAAAAAAGTCAGTCAATTTGAAATTTTACATTCTGAACACTTAAAAAGATCATATGATAATGCTATTTTTAATATTTTGAAGAGCTGCCTTTATATTTTTCATAGTAACTGCACCATTTTACATTGCCATTGGGTGACCCCCTTTTTATCTTCTTCATTTTCCTTCTTACCCTCTATGATCCAGGTACAATGACGCTCTGCTTTTTTGTTTTGTTTTTTTCTTTATCTTTTTTTTATTGATTTCAGAGAGGAAGGGGAGAGAGAAAGAGACAAAGAGAGAGAAAGAGAGAGAGAGAAAGAGAGAGAGAAAGAAACATCAATGATGAGAGAGAATGATTGATTGGCTCCTCCTGCACACCCCACATCAGGGATCGAGTCCGCAACCCCAGGCATGTGCCCTGACGTGAAATTGAACCGTGACTTCCTGGTTCATAGGTCAACGCTCAACCACTGAGCCATGCTGCCCGGGCTGTTTTGTTTTTCATACCAACCTCACTCTTGTTATACGACTTCTCCAGAGTTGTTCTCTCTGCCTATAAAGCTTTCCACCCTGTTGTTTGCTTGACTGGCTCTTTCTGATTTTTCACCTTAGACTCTACCACGTGATACCTTCGTTGGAAAGTCAGTTACTATGCCACCAGCCTGGCACTTACCAAGATCTCATGATTTCCTTGTTTATTCTTTCATTTTTTATTTTGTGTCTTACCTTCTCGAAATTATATCCCCCAACCTAGTCCTATAATACTATGACTGGCACATAGGCAATCCATAGTAATTGTTGAAAATTCACAGGGATTAATCTGATAAATTTCCTAGTGTGTTATATGTGAACATTACTCATTAGTGGAAATCTGTAATCACCACTGAAAGAATAATAAATGTTCTTTAGAAACAAATTGAACTAAGGATCCATAATTTCATCATATCATCAAGAATGGCAGTTGACCTACTTATCTTAATAATTCAGACTCCCGTATAAATTTTGGGCCTCATTAATTAGCATATTTCAGGCTAAATGTGTTCTTTGGTTTCAAGTGATTTCAATAATTGCCTTAATACTTATCTATGCCTTATATATGCACTCATTGTCCTAGAGGTATTTGTGAAATCTTTCATGTACTTCTGAGTAGCGAATTTCAGTTTCAGCCCCCAAAAGTATTCAGGTCACACACCTTCCATAGCGGATTTTCTGAGTCAGTGTTTTATAGTTCATTCTAGTAGTAACTGTTTTCATGCTTTTTAACATCATCTGTGCTGGAGAAAACTCACTCACATAGTAGAATAGGGAAAATTTTTCATTTTTATTATTTCATTATATTAAGAAGTGAATAGCAGAGCACAAATGGGCTATTTTGAACTATGAACAATCTTCTAACACATGTATCCATGCCTCTGTTTCTGTTTTGTTCGTCAGTGTATTTTGTCCATTAGATTCCACATATAAACGAATATGGTATTTGTTTTTCTCTGACTGGCTAATTTAAATATTAAACCATCCCTTTCGTTTCTCTTATTATTTTACTTAGGGTTTATAGTGGAAAATCCTTCACAGACATTGTGATTTGCTGTAAAGGTTTATATCCATGTTCTGAGATTTTTTTTTATAATGCCTTTGCATACTACATCACAGGCTTCTTCAGGACAAAGAATAGTGTGTCTCTTTTTTGTTCACAAATGGGAATCTTCGAAGAAAAAAGCATCTTTAGAAAATTCTGTTGATGTATCTTTAGAATGTAGCATCTTTTGAGAAGCTGTTAGAATAGTATCTATTTTTAAAACTTGAATAGAAGACACACTTTCATATATCACTTAAGCTAGAAGTGTGTGTTAATGGTAGATAATATTGAAAGAGATCACATCTCCTTTTGCTATTACATCAAGGAGAAAATATACTGTACTATTTCTCTTAATCATCAAATTCTCTTGCATAATTTGACAAATGTTAACATTAGACATTTTTAGTTAGGAAAGAAATAATGAACACAAATAGTTTGAATAAGGTTCAAATCACTAATATTTGTGAGTACCTGCTAATTGCTAGGAACTGTACTAAAACACTTAATGGGCTATTAAGTTTAGATGGGCACATTCTTAAATTTCTTCTCAGAATATTTACCTGATCAAAGAATGGATTAAATGTGCCAGTATTAAACCTACCAAAATATTTATAATAGTATATTACAACTGCCTTTTTACTTGTCTGCAATTCCCATTAAATCATAAACTCCTGCCTGGCTGGCATGGCTTAGTGGTTGAGTGTCGACCTTGGGACCAGGAAGTCAAGGTTCAATTCCTGGTCAGGGCACATGCCTGGGTTGCAGACTCGATTGCCAATAGGGGGCATGCAGGATGCAGCTGATCAATGATTCTCTGTTATCATTATGTTTCTATCTCTCTCTCTCCTTTCCTCTCTGAAATCAATAAAAATATATTTTTATAAAACAACCCCAGAGAAAAGCTGTTAGAATAAAGAAGAATGGACAGTATTCAGTAGCCTTTTGTGCTTAAAAAATTCTGTGCAAGTCAAATCAAACATAGAAAATGTCTCACATGCTGAAACATGGAGGGCCTGGAGCCATAAGTAACACACCATCTGAGCACCTATGGCACAGGAAGCTAAGCCTTGGTTGAGTATGAATTGTGCCGTGCTGTGGGTTCTCCCAGGAGACAGGCTGATGATGCCTCTCTCTGAATTCTAGAGTCTCAAGTCCCTGACCAGCCAAGCTCTCTTCACGTGAGGCCCCAGACCAACTGCATCATCATGAGCTGGACTCCTCCCTTGAACCCCAACATCGTGGTGCGAGGTTACATTATTGGTTATGGCGTTGGAAGCCCTTATGCTGAGACAGTGCGCGTGGATAGTAAGCAGCGGTACTACTCCATCGAGAGGTTAGGTGAGTGCCTGTGGTTTTTATTCTGTTACGGAAAATAAATAATTTACTTAAATTATTTTGTTTCTTGAAAAATTGGGTTTTTTTAATGTTATTTCAGCTTGCTGCATATATTCTTAAAACAATTCTATTTTTCTGTCTTCTATCCATCCACAACACACACACACACACACACACACACACACACACATTTTTCCTCTCTGAATTTTCAATTGGATAATTGTATCTAGGACTATTCACAGGGGTGGGTACCCTTGTGTGTAACCTTGCTTGTGTGTCATAAAGATATGAAATGTATATTAGATCATTTTTCTTTTTCTACTGATAAATGGAAACTTTTAATCTTAGCAATTCTTATAAAATGAAAGTCAACATCTTTTTCTTACTAGGAAGATAGTCTATCATTTTTCTTTAACCTTGAATTATCCAGTCACATTACCTCCTTTATCTTTTGCATTTATATATAAAGCTTTATGGCTATGTCATTATAACTGTAAAACAACAAAATGAAAAAAAAACAACAAATTTTCAGTCAAGCCAGTAGCTTAGAGTTGTCAAACTTCTCTCTACATATATTTCTGATTCCTCTCCAATCCAAGTTCTCTTCAAATTGTACTCAGTCTTAGTTTACTTACATAACTGAGTATAGTACTTGAGTTGTGATATTTAGGAATTTATTTAAAACTATCACATATCTAAAGGAGACTTCATTAAAATATTTCACCAACACTGTTGTGGATTCGCAGAGATATACAGTAAACTAATGTTCTTAGAATTTGATGTTACCCCATGAAAGAAAAAATGCATAATTAAAACTTTTAGAGTTTTAAAGATCAACTATCGCTTTTTTTGAAGTGTTTAACCCCCTTACAGAAAGCTATTTTTAGTTATTTTATGAATATTTAATTCTTATTTGTTTTCATTTTTATTCTCTTTTCAATGATGTTTAGTAGAGGGCATGGTTGCAAAGGACACATATTTTCAAAATATAGCCTAAGCATAATGAAAGGTAAATAAAGGTGGAACTGGATGGCATTTCAAGCCTGGGTTTAGATCCATGCTTTTCTCTCTGCCATAATGATTAATCTTGGGAAAGTGATTTATTTCAGTGAAAATGTGGGAAACAAGTACCTTTGATCCTTTATTTTATGGTGTTAGGGAGTTAACAGATATTAAAAAGCATTAATAGAGGAGGAGAGGTTAATCTTTGTAAGACATATAAGTATGAACATTTGCATTGCTGTCATTGCAAAAATATTAAAGTTTTGCCTTAACTAAAATACTTATTTTATAAGGTAAATGTATTGCCTATTTCTAATTAATGGAGG